GGGGTCATAAGACCCCAGCCAGGTGCCTATCCAGTCTCCTCTTGAAGATCTCCAGGGAAGGTGAGCGCACCACCTCTCTGGGCAGCCTATTCCACGCTCTGGCCACCCTTACAGTGAAGTAGTTCTTCCTAATATCTAACCTAAACCTCTCCTCCCTCAGCTTGTGGTCACTGTTCCTGGTGACTCCAAGGGGGGCCCTGATGAACAGACTTTCCCCGAGTCCCTGCTGGTGGCCCCTGATAAAGTTGTAGGCAGCCACAAGATCCCCCCTCAGTCTCCTTCTTGTTATTAAGAAAACAAAGTATTCTGGGATGGGAAAGCCCAGTGCCCTACAGCCCTTGCCCTCGCTTGCAGGAACTCCCAGAGAAAGTAAAACAATGGGGACCTAGTTAACGTCAACTTACCTTTTCTGAGAGAGGAAGAGGTAGGTCCAGGTCCAGGTCCAGGTCGGAAATAGGGAACACTCTTGAAAGCTTGAGTCTTGTTGAAAGCTTTGTTACCATGGTGGCATTGGAGGGCCAGAAAGCACTGTGGAAGCTGAAAGACTTCAAAGGTATTTAGCTCCCTTAGGAAGTTAGACACTGATTGAATTGGAGCTTAGGCACCTATATAGGAATTAAGGGTGTGTACAGAAATGCAGTATGCATGTTTTACAGGACTGTAATTTAGAGCACTTTTTATTGCACTATAAATTTACAGCATTCTTAAACATGACAGAAGTCAAGTGTTTTTTCTGGCCAGGACAGGGCTGTGATCCTTCCAGCACTTCCCAGGCTAGGAGGCAGGGGATGCTCCGCAGCCTCTTGGGGCTTCTTCACTGGTCAGAAGTTTGCCGGAGTACGGAAGTTATTTAAAACACAGTAAATTGCTAAAAGGCTGCAAAATACAGTGCTTCAAAATTTAATACTGTGTTTAACACAGGTTAATTTAAAGCGCTGTACCTGTTTTTAAAGTGCTGTAAAGCCATGCACTGCTGTCAAGTTACCACAATAAAGTGCTTTAAATGGCAAAAAAGCAACTTCTTTATACACTTTAAGCATCTAAATACTACTGGAGGAAAGCCTTGATGGGGCTTCTCCTAACCTGCAAAATCTGCCTAGCTCTTTGAAGAGTCTCACATTTGGAGGCTGATCTCCTACTTGTTCTTAGGTGAAAACTGTGACTAGGAAGAATAGAACTTACCATCCCCTTTGTGAGTGCTTTCTGCATAAGGAATGGTCATACTTTCTAGATGACATGCGTTTGCCATGTCTTCCCTTTCCCTCCTCATTAATATTTTTCCATGGTCTTTGATGGCTTTGTTTATGCTACTGCCTGAGGTCCTAGAGGCCTATTATCCTCCCCTAGTGACACTTTGGTACCAGTAGAACTAGTCAGAACAGTTAAAAAGTAATTAGTACTAAAATAGGTCAGCAGCTTTTTCACTTTTGTGTGCATGTGATAGAATTTTTTCCGGCTTTCTTGGCAAGGGAGATCACCTGCGACAATGCTACAAATGCAAAATCACAGGTACTGCAGGAAAAATAAGGACCATTTTGTGATACTTCCCTTCCTACACTGTAACTCTCTCTGCTCCATCTGTGCCCCATGACTCCACAGCTCCACCATACACATCTCAAAGCACTTCACAAATGTTAACAAATGATGTTTCAACTCCTCTGTGAAGTGGGAGGTATTATCCTGACTTGACAGGAGGGGAAACTGAGGCACAGAGCAGTTAAATAACATGCCTGCAGGGTTTTTGACATGTGGGTTATGAGCTCAGGAACAAAACCCAGCTTACCTGAGTCCCAGAAATGAGCTTTAACCTTATTTCATCTTCTCCTGCTTGTGTTTTATTTT